GAGGGGGCCTGAACGAGGGCACTGGCAGTGGGAGCCAATGCCAGAAATATTAGTAAGACTTGGTATCTACAGTGGGGTGATAGGAAGTAGTTAAAAATAGTTTCCAGATTTCTGAATTAAGCATCTGAAAACAGAATACTAGAGGAAGAACAGGTTTGAAGGGGAGGGTAGAACAGTGGAGCTGTCTGTCAGGCAGTAGTTGACTTAAGGTCACGGACCAGGGATACATATCTTGGAGGCATCAGTGTACAAGTAATGGCCCTATGTGGAAAAGAGAACTAAATACAAAAACCTAGATAGATGGAGAGAGAGAAAAGCCTATTAAGGTGGCTAAGATTAAGGAATCAGACATAAATGAAGACTGCAGAAAAACCAAGGAACAAGATTTTCAAAAAGGATGACATGCCCAGTTTCAGGTACACCAAATGGCAAACCAGATAAGGAATGAAAGCACCCCCTAGATCTGGCAATCAGGTTACTGCTTTGGGGTAGAAGTCAGAGGAGAGAAATTAGTAAAAGTTAAAGGGGAAAAAAAGCAAGTAGTTATACTCTTTGGATAAGTTTAAATAAGAAATGGAGACAGAGTGGTAGCTGTTAAAGTAAACAGAGAGCAGTATTTTGTATGTTTTTATAAACTAATGTCTGAAGAAAAGTAGAGCTCTGGAACTATCTATTACTATTATTGCTGAGCAACAAGGGCAGCACCATAAGCAGCAATAGAGCTCCTTCACCAGGTTCCTCCCCTCCCTCCCTTCCCCAGCAAAGAACACCCACCTGGATGGGGCATCCCACCCGGTGGGAATGGGTGAGGATGTGAGTGTCCATGTCCAGGATGTCCAGCCCCTGGGGTTCCTGCTGATGGTGGACCATGCCCTCCAGCCCCAGGAGGCATAGGTGGTGGCGGCATGGCTGGGGGTATCCCAGGTGGAAGGGCTCCAGGAGGCGGCACTGGAGGTGGGAAGGACCCAGGAGGAGGCATGCCTACAGAGGAAATGGAAGAAGAGTTAATGAAAGTAAGGAGAGAATGTCTTCAGAGAACCTGTTCAATGCAGCTTCTTTAGGCTGGATAAGCTCTTTTCCCTTCCTCCCAGCCCTCAAAAGTCAGAAGCAATACTAGACAACTCTGAACAACTTTCTTCTCCACCACAACTGTCACCCCTCACTCCTTGTCTCATCATCTACTGACCCCACGTCCCCCTTTATCTGTTCTTTTTCCTTCCTCCTGCCCCACCCTCACCACACTCCAAACCCAAGACAAAAATATTCTGAATAAAAGCTTTACCTGGAGGAGGAAGCCCAGACCCCAATGATGATACCACAGGATTGGGGGCTGAGGGCGGAGGGGGTGCATCTGCAAACAGCTGATGAGGACGGTCAGCCTGGGAGAGTGGGTTCTGGGCTGCCAGAAGTCGTTCAGCTGCTGAGCCATGGCGCTCACCCTTGGAGTCCTTCTTGAAGGCATAGGACACAGTGATAGGGCGGTTACAGAGATACTGCCCATTCATAGCCTCAATAGCTGCATCCGAAGCATCAAATGAGGCAAAATTAATAAAGGCATAACCTTTGGAGTTGCCTGTGTCAGGGTCCCGCATAATCTTCGGGGTTTGTAAGATGACCCCAAAGGCGCTGAAAGTATCATAAAGCAGCTTCTCATCAATCTCCGGGTCCAGATTGCCAATGAAAATGTTGGCCCCCACGTCCAGGTTCTTGTTGTGAGCTGATGCCTTGTTCACCCGTATTGGTTTCCCATAGAGTTTGATCATGTTCATGATCTTAATGGCATAGTCAGCATCTTCCTCACTCAAGAATTCCACAAAGCCATAACCTGGGAAGTAGAAGGGTGGAGATTAACAACTTAAGTGAAGTGATTCAAAATGGGGTATAACTCATTCACCTCCCAAAGCACAAAGAACATGAAATAACAACCTCACTTCAACTGGGAATGGTCCCAGAAGTAAACTGTGAGCTACCCTTAAAGAGAAGAATCTGCAGGTGATTTATTCCAAAACAGATACGAAAACTGCTGGAACCCTCCAGGGGCAGTCTGTCTGGCAACAGGTAAACATTCCTCTTGTCATGTACTCACCTTGGTGCTGACCTGTGACTCTATCCTTTGGCATGTGGGTGTTGACTACCGGCCCTGCCTGGAGAAATAGCTCCCACAGCAGCGGTTCGCTAACCTTCTCATCCAGGCCCCCGACATAGACAGTGGCATCTAGAAGACAGGAGCAGATTAGGGGAGGGGTGAGATAATGACAGGAAAAAAGAGGTGACAGGCGGGGGAATTGGGAGTGCACATGGGGTGTAAAAGCAAAAAAGAAAAAAGGAAAGATTAAGCCCTTACATCTCCCTCATTCTAGAACTAGAGAACCTTAAGTCCACCTGAAGGTTCTGCTACAAATTCTCTGCGAATTGCTTTGTTTCTGGTTTTTGTTTGCTCGTTTGTTTTTGTTTTTGTTTTTTTTAAGGGAAGGCAAAGAGAATTGGATAGAGCATCACACCTACAGGCCTCAGTCTGCACCCGGCTCCCCGCCCCCGGAAGGCACGAGGGCCGGTCTCCCGCCCTCCGGGGGGATCCGATCTCCCAACCCCGGCGGAAACACTGCTGGCTCTAGTCGAGGCCTCCCAGCTCCCCTGGGCCCATTCCCGGCTGGTCCCCTCCAATCACCCTGGTTCCGCTCGGAGATCGGCCCGGCCGCCATGGCGAAAGAGCTCCCGCTGTCTCCAGGCAGCGATCCCACCCCCTGACCTTAGTCACTACTTCCACTTCCGGGGCGAAGGCGGTCTTGAGGGCGGCGGGCGGGGCCGTAACGGAGGAGGAGCCGGAAGAGGCCGCGGCCATCTTAGGAACCGCGGGGAGTACGCGATTTGTGCGGCAGGCTATTCTGTCCCTGGATTTGTTCAGAGTCGCCGCTGCGGCGGATTAAAGCGAGGAAGGCGGACTGGAAATGCCCAGACCCTCTTAAGGCAATGCTAGACGTTAAAGGACCACTGTTCTCCCAAAAATGTAAATTCGACAGCTAAAACAACGAAACTTTACTTTTTTAAAAATACTGTGTTGGCAAAAGATCCTTCTTTCTGTTCCCCGGAGAAGGGTGTGCTCTGGAAACCTCCCCTTCCCCCATCTCAAGGATGCGGCTACCTTAGGTCATGGAGGTAGCCCTCCACTCTGGCCCGCAGTCTGTAGGAAGCGGCGGCCTCAACAGACCCTGGGCATGAGGCGTTTCGTTTTTCCCCAGGGGGAGGATTGCGGAACATCTGAGCTGGGTTCATGTCCAAGCTCACCTAGTCCTATTGCATGAGGGGTGATGGAAATCTGAGACTCAGAGGAAGTGTGATAAAAGCCGAGGGGTGGTTGATATTGGAGCCCAGAGGCCTCAGTTTCAACCGCCAGAACACCCCGGGCCCAGCAACCTACGTTTCAGACGGTATGCTCTTTGCTGATCTAAAAAGATGTATGTGGACTTCGCCTGGCCTATCCCCGTATTTCCTTAAGAATAATGTGGTGGGTCGCATCCTCTCCTGGTTTATACCTAGCAGTTTCTTACCTGGGATCTTTTATTCAGACACAAGAGATAATGCCAGCAACATATATAAATAACTGTGCTTTAATGAACTCCTTAAATAGAAATGTCACTACAAAATATACAGTTGTCAGAGACAGGGTGCCTCCCAGACCCACGACATACCCATAGGAAAGAAAGGGAAGAAACAAACTGGGATTAAGCAGCAGGAGGAAGTGAGAATGAGTTCTATAGGCCATCTTTTTAGAACTGACAAACAGCATCTCTCATCTCACATTTAACAGCTGGATATCCAAAGGGATAGAATTGCCTTGAAAAAAACAAAGTTTATCATAGTAAGGATTGCTTTTGTTTCTTAATTCCTCAAATCCTAGGAAACATCTTGAGCAACAAAACAGGACAGGGCAAGAGTTGGGAGGTTAGCACCAACCATCTGCAATGGAAAGTTGATCAGTGAGCTTGTTGAGGGCTGGAGTGTCAAAAGCTGAGACAGCAAGACCAGATAATAAAAATTGAAGAATTAAAAAGAACCCTCCCTCACCCCAGACCACCCTCCGCCAGACCCATACAAAAGACAGCAATTTCAACTGGATTGGGAGAGAATTGTATGTGAATCTCTTTTCTTGGAATGATCCTCAGGAGATACTCTTGGTGTCCATTTCCTTAAAAGTTCCTGAAGATGGGATAGCTCATCCTGGAGGCCAGAGACTGTGGGAGCTGAGAGGCCTTTCTGGGGTGAAGAGAGGCAGAGAGGAATATTATTATAGCTTTAGTCGCCTGTTTCTATGAGAGCTGTCCATTACTTCTACCATCATTTTTTATTATTATTGTTACTATTACAATTGACATACAGTATCCTGTTTCAGGTGCACATCCTAGTGATTTCTTCATACTTTTGTAAAATTTTGTAAAATTATACTTTTATAAAATTGTACTTTTATGCAATTTTTATACAAAAAGTTGATCTTTTTATATATTACAAAGTGATCCCTGTGATAAGTCTAGTTCGCATCACCTCTGGCATCTTTAATTCTCTTTCCCCCTCCAACTATGCCCTAGGTTCTACTTGATCTGAATCACAAACAGTCTTTCCCATACATAGACACATAATCCCAAACCTATCTACTCTGATACCAACAAGAATGGTACTTCAACCTCAATCCTCCCAAGTCCCTTGGTTTTCCAGCTCCTGGACACACCTGGTTTCTCCCAGAACATTTGGTTTAGCAGTCAATTCCCTTCTCCCACTCCTAATCCCTATCCCTGTCTTCCCTCCTCACCTGGATCTCAGGCCTTCCCCTCAGGTAGCAGCGTCTCCACAGCCTGATCTGGGGTCCCAGATATCCAGGCAGCAGCAACCCCGGGGGTAAATCTCAAACCAGCCTCCTCATTGTCCTTCCCACTCCAACCCAGTCATCATCTACTGATGGAAGGACAGGAACAGTAGGCAAAGAACCCTGCTATTAGGGACCACAAGCTGTAGTAACACTACAGCTAGTAGTAATACTACTGCTACTGGGAGGCAGGGTAGCACTGAAGGATGAGTTAAGGCCCATGGGTAGTTCCTAATGACAGGAGAGGAGGATTGTAGTGCTAGCTGGGGACAAGGAAGACTTAAAGATCTTCCTCCCAGTTGGGTGGGTAAAGGAAAAAGGAAGGCATGGAATAGGTTAACCCGAGAAACTCACCTTGGAGTATTACAGAGCGAACCCTGGATGTCACTAAGACTGAGATGTCACTGGCCTTTCGAAGACAAGACCTGAGGGGGCAGATGAGGAAGAGGAGGGAAGAATGGTAAGCCTGGAAGAAAGGAGTGATAGGTCATGGGATGGAAAAGAGGCAGACTCCAAAATTCTGCCCGTTCTTCTAAGGAGCAGCAAATAAGAGTCTTCTTGGAAAATCAAAAAAGCTAATGGAAGGCCATTTAGGAATTCAAGTTAACAGAAAGTTGGGGTAGGTTGAATTATATAAATTGTGGCTGGAAAATGCAGGTGTACCTGACGTAATCCAGCCATCGTGTTCCTTCCAAGGCCGAGAGCCATTTCTCCTCAGCTGCAGATGAATCTGAGAGAGAGGAGAGGGGTCAGAAGGACAAAGAGATCTGGAGAACTCAGAATTTATGATTCAGGGTCTGCAGCCTGAGGTTTAAGAATAAGTTGGGTAAGGGTTACTCAGGACTGGGGATAGAAATAAACAGTAACTGTAAATGGTCATAAGGCTACTACAATTAAATTGTGGGGACAGTTGTACAACCACGTAAATGTAATAAAATTCACTGAACACTTAAGATGGGTGAAGGCTGGATTTTATGGTATGTAAATTGTATCTCAATAAAGCTGTTAAAAAAATACACTAGGGATAGGAAGACAAGAAATCAGTGAGTCTGTGGGAGATGGGAGTTGAATAGAAAACTGTGGATCTTTGGCCTGAAGGGTTACTCATACTGTGACAGGCAAAAGGGTAAACCAGGTTAGGGTGAGCAGACCTAGGGGTGGGAGTAGGGCTCAGAGGTCATCTCACCAGGCAGGCAGAGGGCCCTCAGCTTCAAGTGGGCAAGCTGAACATCTGTAAGACTAGGCAGTTCATCCACGGCATCCACCAGCACAACATCTGAATGCCCAGCCTGGAGCATTGACTCCACTGCTCTGGAGAGGAAGAAGTCACAAGGTAAAGGAACAAGTGTGTCCAAAACCTCCAACGCTTGCTTCTGCTCATCAAACCTCCCCTCACCTGATATCCTCTTTGTTAGGGTCGCTGCCTGTATAGAAGCCACCACAGCGGAGAAGATCACTGCCCCCAGGGTGATGCCAGGACAGGCGCTGCAGATGGTGGGAGGTTAGGATCACCATGGAAGAAACTCTTAGCCCCACCCTATCCCGCACCCATCCTGACCTCCCTCTACAACGACCCCCTCTGACCTCCCATAACCACTTAATCCCCAACCATCACCCTGGTCCCCACACTGACCGGTCCACGGCCCTGATGGAAGTGGCCAAATGTTCTCCTGACCTCACTGTCCAGAGTTCGCTTCGGGACCCAGAAGTAACGGGGGAGGCTATGGAATTGAGAGTTATAGTCACAGCTTGGCTCAATGAGCTCATTATAATGCAGACCTGTCATTACAAGGAAGTTGCTCAGGAGGGAATTATTTCAAGGGACCCCAGGTTTAGAGATCTAGGCAGTAAGGAGGATAGCTTTATGGATCTCATAAGAGGCTAGGGTTTGTGGGCAGTCCTAGCTTTAGAGGATCTGAGAACTGTGGGAAGATTGGGAGGGCAGCGGCAGTTGGGGTGGACTGGGGGATCACCTGGTGGCTACGTCGAACCTCTCATTGACAGTGCTGACTCTCCAGCCCTTGGCCCCCTGCTTTTTCCGCTCAGTCTCCCAGTCTTCTGATGTCTCCAAGAGGGGGATAGAGGGTTTTCTGGACCCTGAACTCTGGCCTAGGGAAGGAGTGAAGCCCAGAAAAGAGGGAAGAGGAACCAGAGAGAGCTTCTCAGCTTTACTGTCCTCAGCCAGCCTCTGCTCTTCCCGATTCTTTACCCTTTCCCTACCCTAAAGCACCCTCACTCACCAGCCTTGCTCAGGGATATCCCTGCATACTGTTGGGCTTGACTGCTCTGAGCTCTGGCTCGGACAATGGCCATGGTCACCTGTGGAGGAAAGGGCATCCCAGCCTTTTGGCTCAGACTGAAGAAGTGAAGAGGAGGACATTGGTCCCATGTGTTCCTCAACTGTCTTTGCCACCAATAGGGAACAGAGAATACCGTCCCAAGGAAGGGAGCTTCCACAAGTGGTGGGGACTAGGTTTAGGAGAACACATCCAGAACCACAGAATCATGGAATGTCAATTCTGGGAGGAATTTCTGAAACAATCTCATCCTGTTTTTCAAAGGAAGAAGCTGTCATACTCCTCCTAATTGGCAGTGCTGGGCTAGAATTCAGGACCCTTACTCTCATTACAGTATCCTCTATCCTAGCCTTTTAGCCTCTCCTTGAGGAGAGAAGCAGATAGAATGATGAGAGGGGTCCTAGGAGATAGGGGAGTAATAGGAATGCCAAGGAAAGGATCCCAAGGGGAGGAGGAGTCTTTGGGTTGAAGGCTTCTTACCTGAAAGGCCTGAGGCTCTAGTCCTCCAGCCTCAAAAGCAACTCTGAGCAGCCGGAAGTCTCGGCCATGAATGAGAATCTCCTCAGGGATAAATTTAAGTGGGGACCCTGGATGGAGGAGCTGGACTCTGGACAATCCACTCACTGAAATCAAGAGTTAGAAAGCAGTGTAGCCATGGATCAGGGTCCCTCTACAAGGAAGTCTTCCAGCCCATCGCACTCCATCCCTGCTGCCCTCTGAGAATAGAGGAAGGATGAGGAAGGGTGAGCCCCCAGTAAGCCCCTTCACCAACACCTCACACCCCACATTCCCCCACTCACCAGCCTCTAATCGCCCAATGTTGACCAGGACAAAATCATATTCACTGCTCAGGGGAGTCTCCTAGAGGAAGCACATGACTGATGCTAAAGACATCTGAAATCTTGTTCATTATCCTACCTTGGCAATCCCTAACCTCCCTAGAGACAACCCCTTAAGCATAAGTCTCCCTGTCTCACTTATCTAAATCCTCCTAGACTCACCAATCCATTTCTCACTAACTGTGCTTTCCACTGGCCTAACCATCTCACCTGACTCCGTTGCCATCCACAGGGCTGGAAGGTGACCCTCAAGTTGGTGCAGATCAGGGTTCCAGGCAATTCAGGTTCAAGCCCCTTCCTTACCCCTGGGGCCCATGCTAGGATCTGCTCCCCTACATGGGAAGGGGGGAAGCCAGGTTATGACTATTCCCAGTGTCACCCACACTGGTATACACCTATTCCTCTGAGACAGAAGTCTGTAAAGAAGGAAGATTAAGATCCTCCCCTAACTCCACTACAACAAAAGCTTAGGAGGAGGTCATTTGTATTCTTTTACTCTAGAGCTTAGAGCAGTGCCTGGCACAGAGTAGGGAACTCAAATAACTCTTAAATAAATAAATGAGGAAAGGGAGTAACAGAGTCAGGACCATCAAGGTCCACACTCCTAGCCAACTCTGACAGAGAAGAGAGCAAGCCTCAGCCAGAAGCACTTTGAGCAAGTAGAGTAATACAGAGGTATCTTTGGTGAGGTTTGAAGCAAAGTTTGAGCAGGATGAAACCTGGAAGAGTCTTTGGAGATTGGAAGTATTGGAAAGGAAGTTATTACCTGGGAGGCATCCCGTGGCCAGCTGACGGCCAAGCTGACAACTCCTGGACTCCAGCATCCCAGTCCTCTGGACAGACTTTGGTCCAGAGAGCTGTGAAGGGTGTAGGGTTAATCCCCAGGCCTCTCCAATCCCGGGATCCGGGATTACCTCAGCAGCCACGGTTGGAGGCCTACACTCAGACTCAGGGGAAACTGAGATCAGCGGTTGTGAGGAGCTTAGGACCCAGTTGGCAGACAGTAAAGGGAGGGGCTGGTTAATGGACAATGAGACAATGAACTTGAGACTGTGAAAAAGACAGACCAAGATCTGTCAAGCAAAGTTGATATGGGACACACCCTCCTCCTCTTCTAGCTCCTTTCCTAGCTCCTTTTATCTCCATATACTCCTCATTCACACCGTCCTGCCCATGGTGCCCTTCCCTCCCAAGCCCAAGTCTCCCCTCCTTACCCCCATGTCTGGCTCCGCCTTCTGGGGGGCGATGTTGAAACTCTGGCCCCGACCCCCCCACCACATTTCTCTGGCTCCATCCGGGGACGGAGCAGTGAAGGGTGGGAGACCTTGAAGATGCTCAAACCCCTTAGGGGTAGGCTGAATCTTGTAGTTGAGAAAAGGGAAGACAGGGAGAGGGGCACCAGGGAAAGGAGCGTTTGAGGTGCACGGAGCACGATTAGGGGTCTTTTGAAAGGTGTGTCCAACCCAGCTAGAGGAGGCTCCTCGGAAACTTCAGTCGACTCTGGAGAGGGCGGGAGAAATGCCCAGCCCCTTAAAGGGGAATACACACAGTTTTGGAAAAGTGGAGGAGCCTGGAAAAGGTGAGGAAAAAATGGATAACTGGGGGTAAAAAAACCCAGATTCTTTCCCCAACCCTAGATCCTATGCTCTTTCTGTTCACAAGCACTGGAAAGTATTTGAGGGGAGCAGTAATACCGAATATTAACCCGGAGTAATTTGGGGGTTTTTTTGTTTTTTGTTTTTGTTTTTGGTTTTGGTTTTTTTTGTCTTCTTGAAGGGGGTGGTGCAGTGGGAGGAATGCAAAAGCAGTTCAGGCTTCCTTGCTGCCTCCCCTGACACACCTGTTAGAAGTAGTAGGGAATTGGGACTCAGGGGACTTTTTGTCTGGGGAGGCCCAAGAAATGAGGGAGAAGAGTTAAAGCATGTTGTATATAGTTCTCCGGGGAGCATGAAACATACCTCGTGTGGAGGGTGCCCTGAGAACACTGGGGAGAGAAATGGAAATATCTCTTGGGTCAGACAAGTACAGGAGGGTATGTGCAAGTTCTGGGAGTAGAGGGAGGCCCAAGGAAGAGATCTTACTCCAAAACACACACACACACACACACACACACACACACGCACACACCCTGTGGGAAACCAGAGCCCACTCCAGGTACATGATCCCTCCCTCCAACCCAGACATCAGATCTCCAAATTAATGATTCATGTTCTGGACCTGCAAAGCTGAGGGCTGAAAACCTCTATCAGTTCAACAGCCCCATCCTCCTGCAACCAGAGGAGCAGAGGTGGGTGGGAGGACCCTAGGAGGGAAATAAAGGAACTGCAGTTAATGGTGACTGGGTAGAAGGCTAAAGTTTGCATTTAGATGCAGAAAAAGACAGGAAATGCAATACAAAATAAGGGTTAACGAGCTGCTGTTTTATTGATGTTTGAGTCTGTACAGAGGCAGCAGACCTTAGGTGGGGGCCCCAGTTTTCCAAAGTGACACTCAACTCTCCCCTTAGCACACACCCTTCCGGCCTCTGCTGTAAAAGTTCCCTGTCTTGGCTGCTACTGTGGAAATAGTGAAGATAATGGGACACAGGAAGTTAACTTCGAACAAAGAGGCATACACCTGCTAGGAAGGTGGCCCAGAAGCCTTATTCTAGAAGTCCTAAAAGCTCCCAAGCACCCCTAACCCCACCTACTTTCCATGGTCCTCAATCTCTTAAGGGAAGAAACACTTCCCAAGGTCTCTTGCCATAGGAAGAGCTGTGTTCCACAATTTTAAAATCCCATTCCCCATTTTCCTTCTCCCCACCACCCTTCAAAAGCCTCATTCTATTCTTCATATTTTGAGGTATAGCAGCAGCAGAGGAATCTAGAGGGGAAAAAAAAAAATCAGGGGAATGGGGGCGGGCAGGTGGAAGCCAGAAAAAAGTTGGTAACTTGGATGAGCAGGGGGAGAAGCAGCTGAGGGCTAATGGGAGGACCACCTCTCCGTATCCCCCACACCAGCAGAGGTTTTAAGTGGATGGAAGGAAGGATGCAGAAGCATGGGGCTCTATCAGATTTTTCCATTTTCAGGATCCAGGTCTGGTTGCAGGTCTGTGCCAAGAGTGAAGGCTGCTGGGAGGGGCAGCTGGGGGGGGGGCGGAGCTGAGTGACTCACTAGATGAGTCACAGATCCAGTTATAAGCACAGAAAGAGGCCATCGTCCTCCCCACCCCTACCTCGCTCTGGTTACCGTCAGCCAGCTTCCGTTCCTCTTTCCTACCGCCCCTAACCCACGTAGCCAGTGAAGGGCGGTGGCATGGAGAAAGTCTCCATGAAGACGTCATAGTATTTTGTTAAGCTACTTAAGTACAGGGCCAAAACACCCTGAGATTTGCAGGCTGGGTATTTGACAAAGTGAAAGAGACAGGAGTGCCTGTGTGACTCACTGAATCTGCAGTTGAAGGGCCTGGAGGGGGAAAAAATTAGAAAAATCTGGGGTGCAGGTGATTCCAGGCCGGGAAGGGCTTCCAATGCCGTCATCCCATCTGTGTCTAGGGCACTGACTGGAGAAAGATGACCCAGAGTCTAGAGTCACTGGTGTCTGAGTAACTCAGAGACTGTCATCTCCAAAGTGCCTTCATGGGAAAGACAAATGTGGCTGGAATCCTGGATGTGTGGCTGTTTAGAAAGGAGACCATTCGGAACCAGCTCCTATTTCTTCTACTTCTGTTATCACTTCCCAAATACACAATACGAAGGCATTGCTAACTTTTATTTTATTGGTCTGGGAGCTTTAGTATCTCTTGAAGATTTTTTTTTTTTTTAATTTATTTGACAGACAGATCACAAGTAGGCAGAGAGGCAGGCAGAGAGAGACAGGAGGAGGCAGGCTACCTGCTGAGCAGAGCCCGATGCGGGACTCGATCCCAGGACCCTGAGATCATGACCTGAGCTGAAGGCAGAGGCTTTAACCACTGAGCCACCTAGGCGCCCTTTAGTCTCTCTTGAGAAGAAACTGAGCCAAAGAATGCTTCCCTCTAGGCCCTGTACAGCACCAAGTTTCACACCATCCCCACTCCATACAGAGACTGAATCTTAAAAAAAAAAAAAAAAAAGTTTTGATATAATCTTTTTATTTTGTAGATAGAATACAGTATGGGGGAAAAACTTTTTATTAAACCTTGTAACTCCCAATAAAACGAGCACAGATCAAGGTAGGAAACTGGAGACCTATCCTATAGAATACCTGCTCCATCAAGGCTGGGGTGGAGAATGTAGGGTGGAAGGACAGCACTGTCTTAAAAGGGGAAAAATAAGAACCCCAAATATTTCCCCTCTCCAATAAAAACCTCGGTAGGTACCCCAATGCCCTGGATTAAAGGAACTAAGTGCACTTATTTAAGACCAAGAGATCCCATCCCTCAGCCAGGATTACAGGATCTGCCTTCCCCTTCACCCAAATACCCCTCCTTAACCAAGGAATTCTTGCTCATTTTGGGTGCACACCATGTACCCTCTCCTTCCCTCTCCCCAGCACAGTAATTGCATGGGCTTGCCTCTCCCACCCCCTCATCTTCCCAAAATACCACAAACCAACCAGAGTCTGTTTTCATTTCCCAGGCATTATTCCTTCACCCTCCATCCCACACAACCCCTCAAAGAATAAAGCAAAACACTCTTTACTCATCCCTACAGAAAAACATCCATTGACTCAGGGCCCCTCATCCTTAGAATGGAGAATTTTTTTTTTTAATGCTTCAATATATAGTTACCTTCCCAAATTAAACAAAAATAATTTAATTCTGAATAAAAAGCTATAGGGCCTAAATAAAGCCCTATTCTATCATACTCACCCCTAGACAACCCCCCAGAATTTCTACTTTTATTTTAAAAGAGGTCAAATAAACTGGGATTGGTTAGTTTAGAAATCAAAACAAAAACAAACATGACACAAGTTTTCTGTTTTTGTTCATCTGTCCTCAGTTTTTAAAAACAAAACTATTAACTAGAATCTAGTAACAAATCAAGTCCAAACACAGCAGTCCAAAGGAGAATTAGAACTTTCCTGGTTTTACTCTCTGGGAAAACCCCTGGTTTGTTCCCATTCCTCTTGGTCCAGGCCAGAATCCTGTGCAGGAGACAGGCGCCGATGGGAAAGCTCAGTGAGCTGTACCAGGTGCGAGCTGGGGTCCCCTGTTGTTTGGGTGCACATAGGGGATGGGGATGGAGGCTCAGAGGTGATGGTCTCACCAGTGTTGTTCTAGCCCCAGAGTGAGGTGAGCAAGGCACTCACTTCGGGCACAAAATTTAAGTGGTGCCCCAAAACTCAATAACCAATATACCATTTTAACGCAGTATTTTTTGAACATCAAAACCAATGTAAAACATCCACAATGAACTAGCTATCAAAATTGTAAGGACAGGATTCAACCCCACACTTGGTCAGTTCAGCTTATTTCCCCCACCCTAGTCTCAGTCCCATTTGATTCTTAAGATTTTGATATTTTATTCATCATGCAGTTTTTTTGCATTGTATTTTTAAAACTGCATTAAAACAGTATTTATCTTAATCACTGAGATTTCAGTACCCCTTAAAGTTCTGTACCTGAGAGAAGTACTCATCTTGTACTAGTCCCAGCCCTGTCCAGAAATACGTACATCCTCTCCTTTGGAACCGATTTCCTTTAACCTCAGTGCTTCCTGAAAACCATTCTATTTTCAAATAAAAGCCCAAGAATTAATAGCCATAGGAAATGATTAAATCAACAGACTATCAGATTTGAAAAATGAGTGACTTTCGAGTCTGCTGAGGAGAGAGGAACCTTTCTAAACTCTGAGCAGTTCCAATGAAGAGGATAGTCTTGACAGGATTTGTTACCAAGGGGGAAATGGGATGACAACTTTCCTGATTGGGCAGAAGCAACATATGGCAATTACAAATGTCCCCAACACACACACACACACACACACACACACACACACAACCAGCCCACATCCAGTTTAGAGCAAATGTGGGGATGACATTCCATGAGATGGGTTAGGAGTACATACCTCAAAAGAGAAATCCACATACAGGAAAACAGCCCCAATTAACACTCTGAACAGTTAAGTATACTTACTCCCCTTCTTCATAGTTACCCAGGAGTGTATACAATTGCATAGTTGATTTCCGCCCCCCCTGGGGGGGTGGGGAAGGAAAGAAAGAAAGAAAAAGGAAAATTGGCCCAGGATAGGTCCTCCAGTTTAAAGCTCTTAGAAGTGGTGCTGGCCAGAGTAAAGGCTGTCCAGACTTGTGCTTTGTGCAAAATGCAAAGGTGCTCCCCCTTCTGTGTCCATAGGCCCATTCCCACCCTCTGGGGAAAAGGCCTGAGTCAGGGAAAGGGGGAAACCCAAAGACAGATCAGCTCATTGGGAGTAATCTGTGATCTGTGGTTACAGTTCACTAAAATATATTTCTCTACCTTTTTATAAACTGCCCCTGTGTTTCAACATCAATCCTATTATCAAAAATATGTCTTCTTACAAAGTATTTTTTGTCTTATTTTAATAAACTAACCACAGATTAAGGTCAGCTATGGCTTAACAAAAGAAGCCGGGATGTTAAGTTCATTCTCCAAAAGTAGATAGGAAGGAGAAAGAATCATTTAAATAGGAAGAAAAAAAAAATCATTTTTTATAATGTTTTTGCTCACTGGGGTTTTGTTTCTTCTCCTTAAAAAAAAAAACAATAGTTAAGTTGCTTCCTACAGAAACACAGCAGCAGAGGATGGTAGTACTCTATTTAGGTTTTTGGTTTTGTTTGAAACAGTCTGGCCAAAGGTCTGTCCCGCTCCCGCCCCTCCCAGGGTGCACTCACACCCCAGTGTGTGGTTATTGCTAAGTAGTTACAAAAGATCCCCTGTGCACCCAGTCACCTGGAGAAGATTCAGCCCACACAGCTGTTCTTCTCATCACTCTTCCCTTCCCCTGAGGGAACATTTTTTTTTAATAAAATTAAAGTCATTAAAAAAAAAAAAATCACAATCTTAACTTAGCTGAGCTCAGCCCTCAAAAAGGATGAGCAAAAGATACAGGGCAATCAGCAATCTCCTCTCAAACTAGAACAGATGACAGATGGCTGTTTAGAAGGAAATAAAACTTGAGAGGAAAAGGATTCCCCTTTTAAATTCTTCCCTTTCCCATCTCAATAAATGGATGTAAACTAACCCCCCTCCTAATAAGCACCCATTGAGCACACATTACTGCCTTGTCTTTCCAGATCCTTCAGGAGGAAGAATTGATCCAACCCTAATTTCTACCTTAATTCAATTCAATAGCAAATCTAATTCCCCAGTTTCCCTCCACACTCCCAACTCCACCGTCATGTGCTTTTTTCCAACCTCCAAGAACTTTGGTCTGTTTTCTCTTTTATTGACTGAGAACCTCCTTTGCTGCTCCTGCCCTAGACCTCTGCCTGCCTCCCCACCCCCACACACTAAACCTTCCCCTCGTTTCCCTTGGTCTTGGGGTGTACCCAAGCAGTTATGAGACAGAAGCATCGCCTTTCCCCCTTGTACCTCCTCAGTCCCAGCAGGACTGAGGAAGGATGAGCGAGGCCCTCCAGGCACCGTCCAGCCCTGACCTGCTCTGCCCAGCCTGGCAGCTCTCCAGCGCACACACACTTCAAAAGTTTCCAGCCAGGCTCCCACCATCACTGCATTTGCCCCATCCGCATGGGGGCTGGGTCTTGATGAGCTAATTCTTTGAGCTTAACTCTCTTTGTTTAGCCCCCCTTGCCCTCCAGGGCTCCCCCTCAGAACCTGTGCACCAGCAACTCCCCACCCGGTTCACGCTCCCTCCTCCGCAGTTCTTCCCTGTAACAGCAGGAGCAGAAGTTGTTTGTCTCCGGGTGTCCATAGAAGCTGCAGTTCGGTTGTTTGCATTTGGTCTGGGTTGGAGGAAGCCCCCTGGGACCTCCAGCCCATCCATCTGGCTCAGGGGGCTCTCTGTAGCCGTTGCTATAGGAATCAGCCACGCGGAAGGGGGGTGGTAGCAGTGCGCCCCTGTGCCCGTCCTTGGAGTGGCTGCCTGGCTCCAGAGACGGGATGCAGTCCTGATGGGGGTAGGGTCGCCCTTGAGGGCACTGTCTGGGGAAGGTGGCATAGGGTGGTAGGCCCCCCCCACAAGGACCTCCTGCCAGCTGCCTCCGGGGTTCCTGGCAGTGGACTCCAGCCCCAGCAGGGCGAGGGATGGTAAAGCCCCCAGGATAGCCAGCAGAGAACGCCACTGGCTTGGATTCTGCTGGGGGTGCCGGCAGCAACTCCTCCCCGCCATCTGGCTCTGGCTTTTTGGCTGGAGGAGGCCCACTCCCTAACCCCCCATTCAGGATCTTCCTCTCCACCTCCTTCTGCTTCTGCTCTGCCAGGAATCTCTCCTCAGCATCAGAAAGGTAGCGCTGGATCATCTCCTCCTGGTACTGATGACGGTGACCCATCTTCAGGGTGCCAACAAAAATAAACTTCCCCTCCCCTTGCATCACAATCCTCATAATGCTCAAGCTCTGCATCACCTCCTGGCTGTACTTGCTCCCTCCGTTACCCACAGACTCAGTCGTGGGCTTCTCAGACACGGCCCCATCCCCCACTGCCTCCTCCTTGCCACCCTTCCAGCTCTTCAGCGAGTTCTTCTTCTTCTTCTCCAGTGTCTCGGTGCCGCTGCTCACCCCTGACCCCGTCCCCACCCCTCCCGGCTTAGAGCCCTTGCTGTGCATCAGGCCTCCCATGTTCTTCTTGAGCTTGCTGCCCAAGGTTTTGCCGAAGCTGCCCAGTTTGTTGGCCACAGAATCTGCTCTCTTCTTGTCTTTCTCCCGACCTCGCTTTGACTTCTCTTTCCGCTTGCTGCCCTCATTGCTCGTAGAACTGCTGCCAACTGACTCCTTGTCTGAGTCTCCAGACTCAGGAGTGGACCGGGGCTCATCTCCAGCTGAGGCTGTGGGGGACTCAGGTTGTGCCAGGGGAGCCTGGAGGATGTAAGAACAGGATTAATGGTTCTAGTCCCGTGGAAAAGGACCAATAACATCACCCCTGTGCACTCCCTCTCTGGAGTGCCTGCCTAGTTCCAGTGAAGGGCGGCTGTCATGGTGGGATAGGGTCACCCAGGAGGGCACTGTTCTTCCCTAGCTCCAGTCAGCTCTCCCATGGACCAGGGAAAGATGTACCTAATACCTAAAATGCAATCTGACTCCCTTCTGTAATAAGGAGATAAAAAAATGAAGCCTGACATTCTTCTAGAGCAACGGGCAACTATATAATACATGGAGAGGAAGAACATTCCATAGATACCAGAATATTCTTTATTATAAATTTGTCTCTTTTTTAAAGATTTTATTTATTTGGCAGAGAGAGAGTATACAAGTAGGGGGAAGTGGCAGGCAGAGGATCAAGCGGGACTTGATCCCAAGACCCTGAGATCATAACCTGAGCGGAAGGCAGAGGCTTAACCATCTGAGCCACCCAGGTGCCCCATTACAGAATTCTCTATGCCTGGGGTGCCGAGGTGGCTCAGATGGTTGGGTGTCTACCATTGGCTCAGGTCATGATCTCCAGGTCCTGGGATCGAGCCCCATGTCAGGCTCCCTGCTCAGTGGAGAGTCTGCTTCTCTCTCTACCTCTCCCACTGCTTGTGCTCTCTCTGTCTCTCTCTCAAATGAGTAAATAAAATCTTTAAAAAAAAAAAATTTCTCTATGCCAGATTCTGCCCCAAATTAATCTCCAGGAAGACGTAACTAACCACAACCAAGCCTAACCATTCTGCAACCCTCCACTTTTAGATATTCAGCACTGGGGTCTGGCTGTTTGTCCTGTTCCTGTGTTCCTGTTCTATGAAGAATGATGACCTTCTCAGAACCTACTGGATCAGTCTGTTAAGGAGACTTAAGCAATTCTGTCTCTCTGGTACCTGCCACAGAAGTCTACATATGTAAGGCTTGGAACAAAGTAATGACGACCCAAAGTTCACCAAAAAGTCTAGAAAGCTTTTCTTGAAGAATGTGTTTTAGTATCAAAAAGCAGAGCTGGAGAGGAGCTATGGAAAATGGAGGGCACTAACAGGTAAAAAGGCAGAAAAAAGTGTCTTTTGGAACTCATCTGATATTTTCCAGTTATTCCTAACCTTGAATGGTTAGCTATCAATCAGAAGCGATTTAGAAGGAGACCATCACCAAATCACCTTGCTAACCCGTCACTGAAATCAAGGCCAGACAGGGTGGGGTGGGAGAAGTCCTCACCTGTGCGTCGGAGGACACTGGGATCCACTTCACATTCATGTAGCCATGCAGCAGATGCAATTTGACCTCTAGGGACAGGATTACACTGTGAAGAAAAAGGAAGAATTAAAAACATCCCATGAGGGGTGCCTAGGTGGCTCAGTTGTTAAGTGTCTGCCTTTGGTTCAGGTCATGATCTCAGGGTCCTAGGATCGAGCCCCACATCAGGCTCCCTGCTCAGCAGGAAGCCTGCGTCTCCCTCTGCCACTCCCCCTGCTTGTGTTCCCTCTCTGTTTCTCTCTCTCTCCGTCAAAGAAATAAAATCTTAAAAAAAAAAAAAAAAATCCCATGACCTTTAAAAAACAAAATATGTGATCCAGTTGGGAGGATGGAAAAGAGCTACATGGCTTGGGACTCAGACAAGGTTGGGTCTGAATTATAGCTCCACCAATTAGTACTAAGCTTTATGACCTTGAGGCAAGTCACTTCACCCTCCCTGAAACTCAGCTGGGGTTGGTAAGGGACATAGATAATATCTACCCTGTATTGTTGTGAAGATTAAAACAGTATTGGAAGGGACCCAGCATAATGTCTGGAAAACAGGAAATATTGACTGAACAGTAGCCACTATTGTTGTTGGTGTAAATATTATTAAGATGGAACTTTTGATATTTAGGGGAGAACTTATTTTGAAAGCCATAAATTCTGAGTTTTTAAATCAAACCCTCTCCATTAGATCCCAATGTCAGGAGCCCAGAGAAGGAAACACTGGACAAGAGGTAAGAGAGGAGCTTTTATACCCATACCCTCTTTGTAGGAAGCCGTGGAAGGCAAAGGCGAAAGACTAAACCTGCTTTGGGAGGCCGCAGGGAGGGGGGCTGTCAGAAAGAACAAATGTTTCTTGCTATTTAAATTCAGAAAGGCAAAAATCCAAAGCAAACTAACTATTTTGGTCAATTACTTAAAAACCCCTCTCATGGACTGCCTGGTTGGCTTAGCTGACAAAGTGCACTACTCTTGATCCTGGGGTTGTGAGTTTGAGCCCCATGTTGAATGTAGAGAGTACTTAAAAAATAAAATCTTAAAAAAAAATTTTAAATAAAATAAAAACCCTCTCACTTGGGCTGGGATTAAAAAGTGTGCCTTGATTATCTTGATTTTCTGATGACTGTTTTGGAGACTCTGGGATGTATCAGTAGACGACCATTCCTCATATTATAAGGAAAGAACAAGTTGCAGTCCCAGGATTTCCCTCTCTTTCATGGGGAGAAAAAGCAGCTGCATGTTCCAAGAATCCTGGTGCCCAATCTGTCCCCCGTGTTTCCATCTTCCCAAAACTCCGGAGCTAGGATGTGACTGTCTTGCCTCTAAGCTGAGAAGAGTCTCGGGGGAAACGGATGCTGAATGTGGAAAAGACACTTCATAGATGGGAAGGCTACGCCTGCCTCACCTGGCCAATCGGACGTTGTCACTGTCATCTTTGCCCCACTCCCAGCCCTTTCCAGGGTCCACAGCAAAGTGCAAGGGCAGCAGCTTATGCTCTGAATCTATAAGTGGGATCACAGCTGAAGAGGAAGAAACACGTCATCAAGGAGTCTCCTTAAGAAGAGAGAAAGGAAACTGAACACAAACTGACTTCATTAAAAAGGAGGCTGGATTGTATCACAGGTCTCAAACTGAGCTCACTCCTCAGTTTTCACATGTGAATTACACTGACCTCAAAAACAGACAGACTGGTTTTCCCTTACTAGCCAACACACAATTTAGGCCACTAATCTCCATGACTCCCCACCAGTCAGTCAACAAACACTCATGATATTCTTGCCAGTTAATGTGGATTCAAAAAATTCAAAGTCATTATTAAGACAAACACAGCAAAGCATCACTAGAAAGGTTTTATAATCTTAATACACACACTCTTCACTCCAGAACAGGAAGCAGCAAATACAGGCAGGCTACTGTTTTTTCCCCAAAGTTCTTTGTCAAAATGTTTTTATGTTTAATTTAAACACCCTGGACTATCGTTGGCTTAGTAAAACCTTATCAGTATGCACTGCCTGGGCTTGCATGTCACTTAGTTCTTCCCTCCTACACTCTCTCCCATTTCAGGTTTTCCAAGTGAAAATAAAGCACACCCAAAGACAACACCGCATTCAGCACCTTGGTCCTTGGCGTTCTCCTTCTGTTCCATGGACACAAGTGCAGAGAAGTGGGCCTGATCATAGGCAAGCACCAGAGGGGAGCGGTGACACTGGCTCGCTGGGACCTCCAAGGGCAGATAGATTCCCCCAAAGGGAATAGGAGCGAACGCTGCAGCAAACCACAAAGACTGTTATTCAGGATGTGTTCTTGCCTAGAGGGCAATCCCCATGCCCCACTCTACCAAGGGAGCTCCCCTTTCACTCACTCTAACCCCTGGTTAATCATTCTTTCTTAAGTTAAGAATCCTCATCAATTAACCCCAACTGCTTTGCATTCAATCTCTATAGAGAATTTTGCATCGTTCTAATGTATATCTTGTCTCTCCCCAAGGGTCCATATAGCCCCTTCCTTCCCTCCTCCCAGTGCTTAGGCCAAGGCTCTGCAAACAGAATGTGCTCAGGGCAGGTTGGACTGACTCACCTTCCCCTCCAGAGTCCCTCAGCATGGTGTCGGCCACGACGACTATGGGCCTCCTAAGCACATGGGCAAGGACAAAGACGTGGAATTCTTCTAGGCTCTCATATACAGGCTCCTCTGAACTCTCCACCCTGAAGTTGCAGGAGGGGAGACAGTGGAAGGGGTACAGCGGAGGGGAGAGGGAGAAAAATCAAACAAGACACCCCTGAAGACCAGTCCCGCAAAGAGGAAAAAGAGGAATGTCCTTTCCTGGTTTTCTAATCTTAAGGCTGCCATGGACATAGCTGATTATTTTATGCTACCATGGCTATTTCTATTCCTGTTTCAGAGATGAAGAAATCCAAGAAAGATTTGAAGGCCCTAGGGCTAAAGTAGTGTTAGGAATCTGGAAGTAATCCCTTGGTTAAAACCAATCTTGCTCAACAGCCTTCCCCAATCTGCTTTATCCTATAGCTCAGGACACAACTGTGTAGCCTCACTTTACCCATCACAACCGCCCACACATCACATGCATCAAGTCCTACAAAAAAAAGAAAAAAAAAAAAAGGAAACAAAAATTCCTCTTCCTACGTTCCCTTACGTGAAAAAGAGCATCTCACACCTCACCATATCTACCTAGTAGCCTAATCACACGTCTGAAATAGTTACTCTTCTTTATCTCTCATCTTAATTAATCACCTAGCTTGACCAATTCTCTCTCTTACCTGTCTCTTGTGTCTCTCTCCTCCCGCCTGTCTGCAACCCACAACTCTTGATCACACCCATGGCCCATCTCCTGGATTACTACAACCTCACCCAGTCTCACTGCCCTCTTCTTCATCAGCCACTCTGCTAGCAGTGTGTTCGAATACACAAATTTGCTCCTATCACCCACGTATACACAATTCAGTGGCTTCCTGCCCCCTGCAGCAACATGATTCAATACAGTGTATTTGGTACAAATGCAAATTTCTAGGCCATAGCTCAGTCCAACTCAATTGAAGTTCCTTAGGGTGGGGGCCCCCAAATCCACACTTTAACAAGCCTCCCAGATTATTCTTATGCACACTGAAGTCTGGATAGGTTATAATTTTTAACTGTGTTACAGAAAATTTCAAAATTTTAAACATTCAAAACTATAAAAAATATTATACCTAAACTCTCATGTAACCATCACCCAGCCTCAACAATTATAAAACACATAGTCAGTGTCGTTTCATCTAGACCTTGATCTATTTTACTATAAACCCCCACCCCAACCCACCAGATTATTTTGAATCAAATCCTAAACATCACATCATTTCATCCATAAATTTTTCAGTGTCTATCTCTAAAAAAAGAGAGGACTCCTATTAAAAACAACCACACAACCATTAATATCAGACTTTTAAAAAAATTTAACAATAATTAAACATATAGACATTGTTCATGTTTCCCCAACTGTCTTATAAATGACCGTATGTTTCCACTGGCTGATTTGTCTAAGAGTGTTTAAACTTAGGTTCTCTCTCCTTTATTATTTTCCTTGCAATATATTTATTGAGAAAACTGAGTCATGTCCTGCAGTTTCTCAAAGTCTGGGCAGGACAGGGTACAACCGAACCCTCAGCATGGCACACACGACTCTAGTTATCCAGTCTTGTCTAGCACTCTAGACCATGTACCCTGTATTCTGGCAATGCCCAACTACTTGTAGTTCCCAGAACATAGCATGCCATTCTTACACCCTTCTGTACCCTTGCCACGGCCCCTCTCTTTCCTTCTGATATCCTCTTGGCATGAAATTCTTTGGATGCTGAGGACTCAGTAAAGACTACTTCCTGGGGCACCTGGGTGGCTCAGTGGGTTAAAGCCTCTGCCTTCGGCCCAGGTCATGATCCCAGGGTCCTGGGATCGAGCCCCGCATCGGGCTCTCTGCTCAGTGGAGAGCCTGCTTCCTCCTCTCTGCCTGCCTCTCTGCCTACTTGTGATCTCTGTCTGTCAAATAAATAAATAAAATCTTAAAAAAAAAAAAGAAAGAAAGACTTCCTTCCTACTCCCCCGCTGAGCCACACTTACCCACCACAGTTGGCTCCATTGGCACCTAGATGCATGCGGGGTTCACTTGAGGCAAGCTTGATCAGCTCATTCCATTCCTTCTGCCATTCGTCCTCTGTGTACACTAGCCCTGACTGTGTGAAAGACAAGCAGGGGAGAACAAGCAGTTAAAGACCAGGTTCACAAGGCAGCAGCAATTCCAACTCACTCACGCTGCCCCACTCCCTATCTTCTTAGCACTTGGCTTGTAATATGTACTACAAAGTCCAGTCTCTTCTCCCTTTCCTAGTCAAGGTCCACAAAAGAATAATCTATGATTTCTCTCACACTTCTTTCTTCCATTCTTTTCCAGCCCATTTCGGTCCAGCTTGTTTCTGTCCTCCAGCCTATACACCTTACCCCACTTACACCACTTCACCTAACTGACTCTGGCAAAGAACAATGACTTTCTAATTGCCGAACTCAGTGGACTCTTTGGTTTTCATCTTTCTTAGTCTTCATGTAGCATTTCAACTCCTCATTAAACTTTTTTCTCCTTCAGCTTCTTTAACTTCTCCTCTCTCTCAACTCTGTCCAACCCTAACAATATTGGGGTTGTGTCAACAATATCAGCAGCCTTAGCTCCTTCTGGGTGATCTCTTCTACTGCCATAATCTCATCCACTGCCATCTATACTCAGGATGCTAAAATCTCCCTCTCCATCCCAGGCCTCCTCTTAATTTCTATATTCACATCTAGCTGTCTACTGAAGACTGCCAACTGCCCTTGACTGCCTCAAAGTCTATACAATTGAAACTAAACTCTTGGGTGCCTGGGTGGCTCAGTGGGTTAAAGCCTCTACCTTTGGCTCGGGTCATGATCTCAGGGTCCTGGGATTGAGTCCCGCATCAGGCTCTCTGCTTGGCGGGGAGCCTGCTTCCCCCTCTCTCTCTCTCTGCCTACTTGTGATCTCTGTCTGTCAAATAAATAAATAAAATCTTAAAAAAAAAAAAAAAGAACTCTTGCAAAACCCACTCTTCTTCCTATATTCCTGCCTTAGTGAAGAGCACTGAATATCACCCACCATCGAAGCCAGAAACGAGGGACTTACTAAAGACTCCTCTCCTTTTACCCACCCCACACCTGATCTCTTAGTCAACAATTATTAAGCATGAACTACTGCAATGGTCCTTAACCGGTTTTACTACTTCCAGTCATGCATTCCACTGTTCTATTTTCTACAATATTACCAAAGAGGTTTTTCTAAAATTAAAATCTGATGTTTGCTTCCTGCTATAAATCATTTTAAGAATCATCATGACCTGGGGTGCCGGGTGGCTCAGTTGGTTAAGCGTCTGCCTTTAGCTCAGGTCATGATCTCAAGGTCCTGGGATCATGTCCCACATCAGGCTCTCTGCTCAGGGAGTTTGCTTTTCCCTCTGCCCCCCGCCCCACCTCATGCTCCCTCTCTCTCTCAAATAAATAAACCTTTTAAAAAAGAACCATCATGACCTATTAAATATAGTTCAAAATCCTTAAGCAAAGCATATGAAGTCCACTTCCTGGCCCTACCCACCTCTCTAATACATCATTTACTTAGCTGTAGTTCCCTGAATGCCCTGCGTTGCTTTATACTTGAGCCTCTGTCTAGCTTGTTCTTTCTGCATGGAGCAACCCACCCCCTATCCACCTGGTGACCAATTTTGCAACTGTCAGGGCAGAACTCAAGTATTTCTTTTTTTTTTCTTTTTTTTTTTTAAAGATTTTATTTATTTGACAAACAGAGATCACAAGTAGGCAGAGAGGCAGGCAGAGAGAGAGGAGGAAGCAGGCTCCCCGCAGAGCAGAGAGCCTGATGTGGGGCTCCATCCCAGGACCCTGAGATCATGACCTGTGCCGAAGGCAGAGGCTTTAACCCACTGAGCCACCCAGGAATCCCTCAAGTATCTTTTTCTATGAAGCCCTTCCTAAATCTTCCTGATAGACCCACTCTTTCCTTTGTGCTCTCCTTCCTCATCTGCTATACAGCCTTTATCACTATTTATCACTTTAACCTATACTTTGGTACGATTATGTATGTACATGTCCATCTCCTCCTACTACTCTTAAGGGCCAGGACCATGTTTCAGGCAATATGCTAATGTCTACGATGTGATCAGTAATTAATAAATAGATGCTGAGTAAAACTATAATTTTTATCAAAGGAATGGGAGAAGTACAAACAATTTAAAAATATCATTTGCCTTTAGGATGTATATGATAATATGACAGACAAGTCTATGTTATTCATTGTATTCAGCTTACATTGGTATTTAAATGAGTTTATAAGGCTTAAACACACACTGACAGTAGAAAGAATCACACTGAAAACATGAGGGGCATGAGCAGCAAAATTTAAGAAGAATTAAAGGGCTGTTGTAAGCACATTTTAGTTTATGTTTTTTTTGAAGATTTTATTAATTTATTTGAGAGCTAGCACATGAGCAGAGGGCAGAAGGAGAGGGAGAAGCAGACTCCCTGTTAAGCAGGGAGCCCAAGGCCAGGCTTGATCCCAGGACCAAGGGATCACGACCTAAAGGCAGATGCTTAAGGGACTGAGCCACCCAGGTGTCCACATTTTACTTTAATAATAAAAAAAAAGACAAAGCTATGTTCTCTTTGTAAAATGCTGTATCGAAGCCTTTCAATTAAATATTGAAATACACTGAAATATACTGTATATTAATATGCAGTATATACTGTATATACTGATTGGTCAGTATATACTGACTAAGCACTCTGGTCACTCTTCCTCTCACTTATTTCAGCTTCCTGTTTTCATACACAAAGCCACTAGGTGGCGCACCCTGCCAACATGAAACTTTCCCTACTGGTTTGATTTTTTTGTTATTGTTTATTTATTTAAACAATCTCTACACCCAACGAGGGGCTTAAATTCATGACCCTCCCAGGTCAAGAGCCACATGTTCTATCTACTGAGCCAGGAGGTGCCCCCATCCTCATTGGGCTTGACCACTAATTTCAACAAAAAACAAGAGGGCCTGGGAAATCAAAACCAATTTAGTTCGTGTGGTATTTGGTCCTTATTAAAAGAAGCCCCCCACAGTCCCTCATGCCTCCCTCCATTCTCATGCCCAAGGGGCAGTATAATGCCATAAACAGTCTCAACTAAAACAATTCTCTAGGCCACATTTCCAGTATGGAACTTTTAATGTGCTGGGCAAAAGGAGTAAAATATTGTTCCTTTGATAGCCACTATTCTCTATGCATGTATTTCCACTGGGGACTTTGAGGGGGAACAAGTGACCAAGAACAGAACTTGGGTATTTCTAGGTCTCCTAGCTAAACCCATAATAATCTAACCCCACTTTTAAAATTACTACAATAGCTTAAGAGCTGGAATTGGGCATGCCCATTCTCTGACTGTTGCAGTCACTTCGACTTAATAGCTGAATGCTCTAGTTTGGTCTTTTCTTGACTGTGGAGTGGTCAAATGTAAGGTTAGGGATGGTGTGAGTTAAATAGTGAAGAAGGTAAATTTTCAGCTGGCTCTAGTTTAAGCAAAAGAAGCCCTCCACAAGGTCCAGGTCAGCTCACAGGGATGCCATGGGACCTGACAATATTAAAGAATGCCATCTACTTGGCCTTGCCCCTGTGCATTTATTTCCCCTCAGGAACCCTCTGGAGCAGACTAACTGATCAAAGACACCATTCTGAGCTTAATACCATCCCAATTTTAACAACTGGGTTCTTTGTTTTTAAGATAGAAACAGGACACATTCTACCTTCGTATTTTAATCTTCAGGATATAAAATTCTAATAACTTAAAAAAAAAAACCCTCTTAGTTCTATATAATGGCCAATTATGACAGAGCAATAAAAGGTGACAAGAAAGAAGATGGAAAGAAAGAGGGAAGTTTCTGAAGAGACAGTCCCATATTTATACTAGAGCACCCAGCCATATACATGGCAAAAAACCACCAGATACTCAAAAAGAGCACAAGATAAACACAGAAGACAGAGCGAGAGGAGAAAAGAGGGAGACCTGTTATCTTTATGTAAGTGGACAGTGTCATTATTAAGGTGAGAGGTCAGCAAACTCTTTTATTGCTCCGTCATAACCGTAGCTAGGAAATATTTTAGGCTTTTTGGGCCACATGCAACTACTTGACTCTGCTGCTCTTCTAGTCTCCACAAGGCAAGCACTCAACGTAAACATACATACATAAATGAATGGGCAGGGCTGTGTTCTAATAAAATTTTTTTTTTTTTTTTTTTTTTTTAAATAAAACTGTTGGTGGGATTTGTCCCACAGGCCATAGTTAGCTCAACCCTTGTTACGGGGATGGAAAGTTCAAACAGTCTACTGTTACTTTCTTATAAAAAAGCAGTCTCAACATCTGCTAAATTCCTGAGAAGTACCATTCAAACTCAGTTTAACGGGCATGTTTTTAAAATTTTTAAACAAACAGGGTATGTGAAAAGCAAATAGTACATATAGCCAACGAAATTTTTAAGCATTTAGCATTTCTCTAAGAATTGAAAACATAGGGCACCTGGGTGGCTCAGTGGGTTAAGCCTCTGCCTTCAGCTCAGGTCATGGTCTCAGGGTCCTGGGATCGAGGCTGGCATCGGGCTCTCTGCTCAGCAGGGAGCCTGCCTCCCCCGCCCCCCGCCCTCTGCCTGCCTCTCTGCCTACTTGTGATTTGCCTCTCTCTGTCAAATAAGTAAACAAAATCTTTAAAGAAACAAAAAGAATAGAAAACACAAGTCCTTAAAAATTGGTCTAGCATTATTATAAGCAAAACACCCCCAAACAATAGAAAAATCCTGTGGACCTGTCATATCTTATTTTGTAAAAGATTACTACTGGAGACTTGCTGAGCATCTATCAGACGAGAAGCACAATGTTAGCTGCCTCCTCTATGGGTCTCAGCTTCTCCATGCTAGTTCTCATGACTCTATCAAAAAGGCATGGGCCCTGTGGTATCTTCTGCATTTCCTACAACTTCCAGGATTACAAGGGGAGTACCACCAATTAAGCACCAGGAGACACTGCCTATTGGTACGCACTGAGCATTTCCTGTAGCCAACTCTGGAGGACAAGGTGCTCCCACCCAAACTCCCTCACCTCTTTGTTCTGCTGTGTCTGCTGCCACCTCCAGCGCCGTTTTAATGCCTCCTTCTCGGCTCCCTTCTCCATCAGTGCATACAAAGCTTTCCGCAGCATCAGGTCCCGATCGTGGAAACCCCACATGCCTGTGGCAAGGAAACATACAGTAGGACACCTTACCTTTATTAATACCCTAACAGCAAGGAAATCAGGCTTAAGGCCAGGTTCAAAGAAACCCCTGTGACTTAGGGGAGAAGTGAAAAGATGTTCCTACTCTGGAGGTTCAGAAACTTCAGGAACTTACAAGTGGGGGATACACCACATCCTACAAACTCCTGACAGAAAGCCCCTTACTAATATGCAAGTCTAACAAACTAAAATACAGAGTAGCAGCAGAAAAGATGGGTCTGGCACATGACAATCAGCATCAAAGCTGGGGGGATGGTTGGAAAATGAGGACTTTTTTAAAATCTAAGGCAAAAAACATATTGAATTATAAATAAGTTTTATAATTAAACAAATCTCACAAAAACTGATGAAAACATCTTTTTTAAATACCAAAAGAATAAATATTAAGGAGAATGATATACACATATAGCTTTATCCTGCTTACATACTTGCTGCTCAATACTTCTGCAGGGTAGCTCTCCAAGTGGGACCCCCGCTAAATCCTATGTTCTACATATGATCCCTGAACAAGAGACTGAAAAGCCAGGGCAGGGCTCTCTTCCATCCCCTCCTACATGCCCACGCCCATGCACATGCACATGTACACACACACACACACGCATGCTGTACGATCACTTCTGCCTAAGATCAAGGTTAGTGGATTAAGTCCTGCACATGAGATCTAAATTCTGTTGCTTTCTTTCTGAGGGTGCGTAACACCATTTTCAAGACTCACCCAGAGAGGCTGCATGCAGGAGGCAGTTTCCATCCCCAGTAGTTGCCAAAGGAAGCAGCCTTTGGCAGGTAGGGTCCACACTCACCCACCAGTTCAAACGCCCTACGGAAACAGGAGGAAAAGGAGAGGAGCAGATTATCCATAAAGCCCTTCCCACTTCCCTAGCTCTCTAACAGACTCCAAACTTGCCTCCTCTAGGAAGCTAACCCAGAATACTGCTACTCCTTATATCTTCTTCACTTACACCTAGTCAGTCAGAACCTGAAGAACATGACTGGTGAGATCAGCAATTCTTACATGGGGACCCCTGATCTAACCAATATCCAAGGGGACATTTGGCAATATCTAGAAATATGTTTGGTTGATACAACTGGTGGGGGGATGCTACTGGCATCTAATGGGTAGAGGCCAGAGAGATTGCTAAACAAAATATAATGTACCAGGCAGCTCACACAATAAAGAATTATCTGGTCCTAAATGTCAACAATGCTGAGACTGAGCAAGTCTGGGTTAGATGATGGGGCCCAGGTCATAGGTTAAAATCTGTGTTGGTCACCTGGTCTGGCTCTGACTCCTTCACTCTGCTCAGGAGACCAGTAAACATCATAACAATGAAGCTCAGCACAAATCCATCATCAGTAAAAGAAAAACAACCCAAAGCTGTATTCACAGGGTCACATAGGTATCATTTGCACATATGACAGCATGTCGGCTTGTATGTGGTAGGACTTTAAAGACATGCGCAACAAGATAGCACATGAAACACCTTAGAAAATGAGCCTCGATTCTGTACAGTCATCCATCTTCCCATTATTCACATGAGGAAAATATTTTGTGAATCACACTTCAAAGTCTCCTTGAATTACTGAAAAGTCAACAGAAAGAAAAACTGGCCTATAATCTCACTAGCCAGGTAACTTGCTAACTTTTAAAAAAGTATAGAGAGGCACACAGTTACTATAGAAGGGTGCAAAGGAAAAATGCAAGCTTCTTTCCCATGCCCCCACCTACCAGCCCCCAGCCTTTCTTCTAAGAAGTTTAACACCTGATTAGCTTTTCCCAGAATTCAAGCAGCCTCGCCCCACCATATTAACTAATTTTAACAGTAATTTAAGACAAATATAACTGTAAAGGTAGATAAATCTTTGGGGAAAGCTCATGTAAACAAATGGGACTTTTAAATTAATCACCATTGTGCATCATCTGTAGTATTGGTTCTTTCTGGTCACAAGGGTGTTCCAGAGCCAATTATAATTTATTTCTATTTTTTTCCCCATGTATGGATTTTTAGGTATTGATTCCTGGGCCTTTCATGTGTATATCTGGTTTCCCTTCCATCAAATGGGAAATTTCCAGGGTAAAGTGTCTAATTTCATGTGATACGGTGAGTGCTGTGAAATGTGTAAGCCTCGCAATTCACAGACCTGTACCCCTGGGGCAAATAATACGTTATATGTTAATAAAAATAATTTTTTAAAAGAAGTGTCCAATTTGTGTCCCAAAAAGAAGCACCTAGCTCAGTACATGTTGATCTGACCAACTCATGACTTTGCAGTCAGCTCCCAGACTTAAACTAGAAGCTACTGGTCAAGGCCAGCCCCTCCATGTGGCTGCCTACCAGTGCAGAGCAGAGGGAAAAGCCCATGAAAAACAGCACTCACTGACCTGCCTGTTCCAAGGCAACCAGCATGGACTGTTCAATAAGGTCTCTCTCTATGAAGCTGCGGAAGTCTTCATTGTACACAGTGAGATCTGGAAGCTGGAAGGCACAGATGGGCATTTCCAGGGGGTGCTCACTGCTCCCCCCACCCCCACCATTGGAGGAGACATGGGACCGGGCCAGGGAAACAATGCTGGAGCTGGCGTGGGAGATGCCCCTAGACAGGCGTTTTTCTGCAATGAGAAACGGAGTTACCTTAGAACATACACAGCCCAGAGAACGTTCCACTCATGTGGTGATGATTACCCCTTGACAAGGCAGGGAAAAACTGTGAGTCGAACTAGCTACCAAACTTCCCAACCCTCTTTCTAAATCCAAATGTAAGTGGGGAAATACGGAGAGTAGTATTTTTGCAGGCACTTATATTAGCACCAAATATACATTCCTCTTTCTACCCTTTATAAATAATTTGCCTGAACTTCTCCCCATGACTCTGTCTTCTTTCACTTCCATTTCCCAACATAACAGGGACTCATTCATTTGGCAACTTGGTCACTGATAGGAAAAAGAGGCAATAAGGGAAATGGGGTTTCATTTTGCTAGACTGCATCAAATAATCACTCTGATAATTTTCACAGTTTTGGAGAATACAGGAAAGACTTTCCATTATAGAAAATTAATGATAAGGGTGCCTGGGTGGCTTAATCAGTTAAGCGTATGCCTTTCACTCAGGTCATGATCCCAGGGTCCTGGGATTGAGCCCTGCGTCGGGCTCCCTGCTCAGCAGGAAACCTGCTTCTCCCTCTGCCTCAGCCTCTTTCTCTCTCACGAATAAATAATCATAAAAAAAATTAATGATAAATCTTACACATCTGGAACTTTCTTATCTACCATTAATAGCATTTATTTACATTATTTACTAGAACTTCTCTGGATTCATATTTGTCAGAAATGTATAGGTACAGTCATTCTCAATATACTAGAGAAAGACAGTAATGTACACAGTGCCCCAAATTATTATTTTTTTAAGATTTTATTTGTTAGAGAGAGAGAGCACAAGCAGCGGGAGGGGCAGGCAGAGAGAGAAGTAAACTCTTCACTGAGCAAGGAGCCTGGATCCTGGATCCAGGACTCGGTCCTGGATGCAGGACTCGATCCCCAGACCCCAGGATCCTGATCTGAGCCAAAGGCAGACGCCCAACCAACTCAGCCACCTAGGCATCCTTATTTGTTTTGATTACATGGCACTTATAATTCCCCATGAGATAGTCTGTGATCATAATCTGCCCAGTGTCATATTACAATCCATTTGCATGATTTGAATTTATATATAAAGATTATCAAAAGCTAAAAATTGTGTTGGGAAGTAGTTCTTAATCCAGTACTTGCCAGAGATGACATACAAAGTAAGTCAAGAGTTGTCTAAAGTTATTTTATAGTGATGTTATTTTTTAAACGATTTTTTTAGGTATTTAAAAAGTATCATAAGCCCATGGTAAAAAAGCAAAACATTATCAAAAGATATAAAGTATTACAAAGAAATCTCCCCTTTATTCAAAATTTCTGATTCCTTCCCCAGAGGCAAACTTTTGGATCCTTCTAGAATTTTTTATACACATAGAAACACACATAGTTTTGGGCGCCCAGATGGCTCAGTCAGTTAAGCAACGGACTCTTGGTTTCAGCTCAGGTTGTGATCTCAACGTCATGAGATAGAGCCCTGCATGGGGCTCTGCACTTGAAGTGAAGTCTACTTAAGACTCTCTCTCTGCCCCTCCCCCTGTGCACACCCTCTCTCTCTCTCTCTCTCTCTTGCTCTCTAAAATAAATAAATAAATATTTTTAAGAAAGCCCATACAGCTTTTAAAATCATTTTTAAAATGATTTATGTTTTAAAAACATAAATAAGAACATACTATATAAACTGCACTGCATCTTACCCTTCTCAATAGATTTTAGAGACTTCAAAAACAGCACATCAGGTTCTACCTACTTCTTTCCAGTGGCTGCGAGTACTCCGCAACATAAACGATTTTATTTAACTACTCCTCTACTAATGGACATTAAATATTGTTTTCAAGCTTTAACTTTTAAGCTTTATGCTGCATATGTGTATGTGCCCACTGAGGTCTATTTATTTAAAGGAGATAGATATATATATATCTATATTTGTATCTCCACATGCACATACACATATGTGATAAATTCCTAGAAATCAAATTGCTAAGTCAAAGTATACATGCATTTCAAAATTTTGATACATAATGACAAATATTAACCTCAGAGGTAGATGGCATGATCCTGTGAATTCTACATTTATGCACTTTATCTCGACAACTAGATTGTTCTCCTTTATCCATTTCCCTCCCAGTAGTGAAAAAGGCCTTCACAGAGGGGAATACTCAAGAAACAGTGGGAGAGTGCAGGGCTCCTGCACCGAAACAGACTGAAGCCACCTCTGAACAGTTTGTCAAGGGAGCAGGGAGAGGAACAGGAGCATCTCCAAAGGATGGCTCCATTTAGCAGTCCCCTCACTTCCTTTCTACTCCCGCCTACAGAAACAGCCCTCAGTTACCCCAGTACCTTGAACGATGTCATCCTGACGCTGCAGGGTGGGTCGGGGAGGGCGGGCAGACTCTCTATCCGAAAACCCTTTCTCAGGTGTCCTGGAACCACCACTCCCTTCACTAAAGGGTGGGGGCAGGTTCCCAGCATGGACTTGACGTAGCTGTTCAAAATCACTGAGGGCGGCACTCACGTCCCAATTCTTTCCTGGCAGGAGACAAAGCAAAAAATGAAATGGGTAGAGTACAGGGAAACTGGGGAAAGACATAAAACAATCATTCAAACCACCCTCTCAAAACTAACAAGCAAAATTCATGCGCATTTCCACCATTCTCCTGTTGCTAATTTTCTTCATTAATACTTCAGTCTGCAATACCACAATTTCTTTATTTACTTGTTGTCCTTCCTAAGTCAGTTCTGTGAGCATTGAAAATTTGTGTCTCTGATCTGAAAGGGCCCACAGAGGCCACAGATAAAACAGAGGAAGCCTAAAGAAGTAGTGACTTGCCCAAATGCACAGCTAGCTTGCACCACAGAGAAGTGTGACTAAAGCCCAGGTCTCTTGATTCTGAGATCCAGAGAGTGCTTAGCCTAGACATGCATGCACTATAATGTCCTACACCATACAGAACTATATACAAAGGTATAAGTACATGAATTTTTCTAAAGAAAAAGAGCTGACAGCTGTCATCAGATTACCAAAAGGAACTGTTAACTGCCCCCAAATTTAAGAATCACTACTCTACTGAAGAGAAGACCCTAAATGTCCTACTGGATTTTTCTGTTGCTTTCTCCAGTTATATTATTCAGTAAATAATATATTATATGATTGTTCACATTTCTTTCTATTCTATTCCACCTGCTACCCCCTCAGTTCAATTCCTATCATCCACTGTTCCACCTCCGATCCACTCTAAAGTATCCCATGAGATTAATCTTTCTAAAGCACAGTTCTGTCCCGTTTCAGTTCTGTTCTGTTCATTTTAGTTCCAGAATCAAAACTGCTAACGGCCTAACATTGCCTACAGAGTAAATTCTAGGCCCTTGTGTCTGACATTCAAGACTTTCTATGACCTGGCCTACTTCTCCAGCCTTTTCTCTGTGCTTCAATTTCCCTGGCTGTGAAAGTGGAGATGATTCTATGTAGGACTGTTATGAAGATCAAATGAATTAAAAGCACTGATACACAGAAAGTGTTTTTTTGTTTTTTAAGATTTTATTTATTTGACAGACAGAGATCACAAGCAGGCAGAGAGGCAGGCAGAGAGAGAAGAGGAAGCAGGCTCCCTGTGGAGCAGAGAGCCCGATGTGGGGCTTGATTCCAGGACCCTGGGATCATGACCTGAGCCGAAGGCAGAGGCTTTAACTCATTGAGCCACCCAGGCGCCCCCACATAAAGTTTTATATAAGTCTTTATTGCTGTTGCTGTGATATCTTATTACTCTGATTTTCCAGTTAAGCTGTATGAATCATTAATACCTGATGAATTTACTTCTGAGCCATCACATTCACCACTTGTTCCAACTCCCTTTGCTCACACCACTTCAGTGGCTCTGGCCTCTTCACTGTTCCACAAACATGCTAAGACTGCTCCCAGCTATGGCCTTTCCAACAATCTCCCCGCTGCCTGGAAGGCTCTCTTCCCAATTTATCTACACAGACAATCCTTCAACTCTTTCAGATATTTGTTCAAATGTCACATTCTTAACAAGGCCCGCCTTAACTACCCAAGTAAAAATTACAACCTGCCTCATCATTTCCCATAGCACTTCACACCTTAACACACACTTTACAATGATTTCGTTATCATGTTTATTATTTATTGACTGTTTTTCCTGCTAGAAGATAAGGGCTGGGATTTTTGTTTGTTTTGTTTTATTCAGCACCTAGAACTTGGCACACAGTAGGTACTCAATACATATCTGTTGAAAAATGAAGGACTTTTGTCCTGACTCAACAAATAAATGAATGAATGTTTACCACACAGTTGGAAATAACAGAACATGTATTGAACACTGGCTCTGTATTTGCAGTTGTGTGGTAAACTCCTTAAAATCAGCTCCTAACAGCCAACTTGTCCAAAACTGAATGTCCATCATTCTCCTTCCTAGGACTTGCTTTGTCTTCTCTTTCTCTATTCCTCAAATTGGTAATGGTATCACAAGCCCTCCAGGCCAGAAAATTCCATCAGAAAATTCAGCAACTCACTACTCAGACCCAACTACTTCTCGGCCCTCACTATCTAGTCAATGTTTGCACTCATGAAACTTCTCTCAAATCTGTTCTTTCTTGTCCATTTTTATTGTTACTGTGCCCATGCAGGCCCTCAAGATTGTTCCCTGGTCTTTGGGAGAGGTTCAGCTAATCTCTCTTCCCCTAGCATGTCCCCTCTCAAATTCGTTCTTTACACCAAAGTTAACTTTAAAGGGAAAAGCAAGAGATAAAGACAGAAGCAGGGAGAAAATGAAGATCAGGCCCTTTGATTTCCCTTCTAAGTTCTATCTTAAATCCATCCACTTTTCTCTCTTCTGACACTACAGTAGTTCAGGCCACCACCATCTCTTACCTCAACTGTCTTAACTGGGTTGATCACTTCTCTGGCCACAATCCAATCTGTTTCATATCCTTCAACCAAAATTCAAATCCCATCACATCATTCCCCTGATTACAAGCCTTAACCAGCTTCCAACTAAACACGGAATGACATTTAAACTCCTTACCACAGTCTACAAAGGGCCCCAAATTCTGCTTCCTGCCTTTTCTACTCATTTCCTACCACTCTTGCCTCACTCTTCCTACCCAGTGCCAAACTCTTTCACCTTAGGTCCCTGTGTAAGCTTCTATATCAACACTCTCTTCTCTGTCCCTTTAGTGTTGCTCCTACTCCCACCCACCCTTCTGGGTTTAGCTCAAATGTCACTTCCTTAGAAAGGCCTTTCTGCACCCTGTATCTAAATTAGGTTTATCTCTTACACTCGTATAGTACCTTCAACCTTTCCTTCATAGCACAGAAATGTATGCACATGTGTGTGTGAGAGAAAAAGATTACACAAATATTAACTGTAACATAATTGTTAAGAGCCAGCCTCTGAAATCAGATCGCCTGAGCTCAAATCCCACTTAACTTTCTGAACCTCAGTTTTTAAAACTGTATAAAACTTACATTGTAGAGTGACTGTAAGAATAAAATAATACATCTCAAGTACTTCACACATACAGCATTCAACACACGTGACAAGAGGAAGAGGAAGCATTTGAGCTGAATCCTGAAGGATAAGGAGAATTTTAGGAGAATAATGAAGGAAGGAACACTGCAGACTTAGAAAACAACTTAATATGACCAGGGAAAGGTGACAAGTTGGACGAAGCATAAGGAGGAGAAGGTAGTAGGAAATAAAACCAAAAATGCCAGTCAAGGGCAGAGTCCTACTGAATTAGCAAACTGGAGTCTAAACCCGGATCTTCCATTTCTCTTCAGGCTTAGCGATCTGTGTCATTATATATTTCCATCCTCAAAAAACATCTGTTAATTATGACTCTAAACAAAGAATTCTACTGACCTGATTCCAAGCCTTAAAGACCTTAAAATCAGAACGTTCACACTTATGTGTACATACAGATTTAAGTAAACAAAGGTAGCAAAATAAAAACATTAACTTAATTCACTCTACACAGAGTCACCTATACAAATTAGGGAAGGAAAGAAACAAAGCCACAAATGATCCTAAAGTCATTTATATAGAAAGAAAAAGACTTACAGATACAGAATTGTACTTTTAGTGGATTAATATAAAATCTCACTTGCATTACCTGAGCATACATTCACAGTGGAGAAAGCTATACCAAAAATTCAAGGTGAAAGGGGATTTTTGCATTTTAAAATTATGGTGAGTCACACATAGGTGGATTATTAGAAGCAACTTAAATGTAAGGCCTGCCACACACAAAGTATCTTTCTGATCACTTTTAAATGTTCCAAGACATCCTAACAATAAACATTGCATTTTACTTTCTTTCTTCTCATCTTTCCCCTCGTGACTCCTTACCTTCCAGGAGATCTCGGGCCAGCCCAGGCTCTGCGCCTGTGGAACGGACAAAATCTGACAAGACAGCATCCATGTCCAGGGTCATGTGATCATTAAGTACTTTCAAGCAGCTGAGGTAGGGTGGACATAGATCAAAATTCAGCCCTCCACCTGAGGAGGAAATAAACACATAAGTCTCAAATTACACTGAAATAGGATGATCATAGCCCAATTTCAGCAGCTTCCTTACCAAATGGAGAAACGATCCTGGCTCATTCATTTCAGCTGAATTTATTATGAAGAGCAACATTTAGTTTCCTAATTCCTCATTAATTTTTTTTAAGATTTTATTTATTTATTTGACAGACAGAGATCACAAGTAGGCAGAGAGGCAGGCAGAGAGGGGGAAGCAGGCTCCCTGCTGAGCAGAGAGCCCGACGCGGGGCTTGATCCCAGGACCCTGGGATCACGACCTGAGCAAAAGGCAGAGGCTTTAACCCACAAGGGCCTCCCAGTGACCCTCTCATTAATTTCTTAACTACTAAATTAATCACAGACCTAATGTCATTCTGAGTATAATGCTTTTCTTCTACCTCTCTAGAGTATTCTGTTTCCATCCATCAGTTTGCTTATCTAAGCTAATGGAAGAAAGCAGCAGACTACAACCCTGAAGAACTCCCCACCTTGTTTATTTCCTTGTTGGCACTTGATTTAACCTGAAATTATTTTAGTAGGTTGCTGTCTAGGCTCCCCCTCTAATACGTCAGTTTCTTGAAAGTTCAATGCTTGTCTTGTTCATTACTGTGTCCTCAGCATGTAACACTTGGCACAGTGCGTGGCATACAGGCCCTCAGTAAATACGTGCTGAATGAATGGATAAATGAACAAATGAATACTATACACTGAAAAATTTTAGAGTTGACTAGTGTTCTGAGGCTAGCTGAGGACATGGAAGGAGCAAGCTGATCAAGCTTAAACTACTCAAAATAAAATAAGCTTTTACACAAAGCAGAGTGGAGATCTCCAAGGTACACGAAAGTTAATTTTTGCCCACTAATTTCATGAACCCAGGAAATATGCCTTTCTCCACTGCGGACAAGTGAGCCAAGTAAGTTCACCTGAAAAAGATCTCTTCTTTCAGACTTGACTTTGGCAGAAACTCTGTCCCTGACCTGATAGCCTGGCACCAATCCACATTCCTCTAAAGTTAGCAGGCCCAGCTGAGGAAGCAATAACAGAGTGAAGAACAATCTCTGACCAATTCTACCACATTAGACGGGTTCTCTGGAAAAGAGGGCTTGATCCTAAAGCAACCATAACACACCTGCCCCACCACAACCACCAATCCCTCGCCTTTTAGAGAAGACCAAAAGTAGAATTCTCAAAGGTAAAAGGTGACTCAGGTGACTGCAGAAACAGCTCCTCCTAAACAACCTAAAGTCTAAGGGTGACTCAGATCCCTTTTCTTCAGACCTCCTCCAATCCCACGACACAGCTTGTCTGGTGGTAAGATCAGATCCTGATTTTCTGCATTCCTTAGAAATATTAAGCAAATAAAGAGCAATGATTTGTGGATCATAAAACCAGGAAGTCACTAATCTGAGTGCAGGGATGTGTTTTAGTCATATCTGTAGACCCAACACCTAGCACCTAGCACAGCATCTACAACACTGCAGGCAGTCAATAAATGCCTGATGAGTAAATGATTAAATGACTAAGTGAACCTCCACACCAGCCACCACCAAACCAATCCATTTTTGGCTTAACTTAGCAAATGAGAAATTCCAGGGTCCTTTGGACTTCCTATCACCCCTCAATTTCTAAGAGTCTACCTTGGCCCCAATCCATTTCTCCAAGTTTCAGAAACTCTTTTCTTTTCTTTTTTTTTTACGATTTTATTTATTTATTTGACAGAGATCACAAGTAGGCAGAGAGGCAGGCAGAGAAAGAGAAAAGGAAGCAGGCTCCCCGCCCAGCAGAAAGCCCAATGCAGAGCTCGATCCCAGGACCCTGGGATCATAACCTGAGCTGAAGGCAGAGGCCTCAACCCACTGAGCCACCCGGGAGCCCCCAGAAACTCTCTTTTCTGAAGAGACATCTGTACTGTCACTAGTTCCACCATCCCTGTATCGTAAGATTTTTACCTACACCTATATACGTTAGCCAGATGGCTTTGGTCCAATTACTTACAGGGTTTCAGGTGCCTCTTGTTTATCCTAGACTTGGATTCGATGACCTCTCAGATCCTTCCCAGGTTTAAAAAATGAACTTCTCCAGTTCACTATAGCCTCATAAACCATGATCCTGACATTCTCTTTTAGTCTGTGTATTATCGATATCTAATTTCCTTCCATTTCAATATCCCAATTGTCAGAAAATGCTGCCAATACATAGGGAACTTTTGGCCTAACAACCTCAAATTCAAAATGTCAAGTTATAAAATAAACTAGTTCCTTACATTTTATACTTAAGAATTAAATTCCTTCAGAATTCATAAATGAATGAGTGGTTTCTCCCTCCCCTAATACAAGCAAGAACTTCTTCTCCAAGCCCATTTCGGTCACTTCTTAGAGGTCACAGGAGATGGCTGCAGCCCAAATAACTTGAAAGTATGACTAATCCAAGACCAAGAGCATAGCTTCAAAATGAATTTCAATCTTCTCTCTTTAAAAAAAAAAATATTCAAAGGAACTCAGTAGAGCCACTTTAATAACTTTCTGGGAAGACTGTGGGAGGTATACAGTAAGCAGACAAATAGCAATCAGCAAAAAGATGCTCAGCAGAAGAGAGAAGAATTGATTAAGCCATGGGCATGTAGACAATCTCCCAGCCAGACACAGGACAATAAAAAAACCATCAACGTCACGGCATCACAGACCTCATTTGCCAATACAGTAGGTCTTTCTTCAAAAAATTATTTTGGAGAAGTAATTCAGAGATCCAAAACTATCTAGAATGACTTGCCAAAAAATTCAAAGCACTAAACCAAACTTCCTGGCAGCACATTCATTCTTCTATCTGATGCCTCCAGGTGCAGGCCACAGACTCCACCCGAACCCCACCCAGCAGGGGAGGACAGTGGCTTCTGTTACGTCACCACCAACACTTGGCTGGCACTTCTCAAAATCCAAACGGGAAATAGCCATAACATGGACTAAAACACACAGTCCTTGGCTGTCTCAGCACACAGGAAGAAAAAAAAGAAAATACTGGCTTTTAAACTTTCAAACAAAACAGAGGAGACACTCAAACATCTGTTAATTGAATGGTGTTTAGACAAATCTCAACTGGAGGCAAAACCCTCCAGTCCTCCAACTGGATGAGACATTAGTGATTACTTAATTCAATGTCTGCCCCCAAGCAGAAATCCTTCTTTTACATCTCTTGACAGAGAAATCATCCAGTCTTCACATAGATACAAGCCTTGATGGAGGACTCATTCCTTTGCCACCATGTCCGTCTTACTTTAAACAAATCTAATCGTTACAAAATACTTTTCTAAATTAAATCACCAGCCCACCCCGATCTGTAACTTCCACATAATGGCCTGTGTTCTCTTCTCCAGAACAATAAAACCACACCCAAGAATGATGGTATTTGCATAGACAAGGATTAGAGAAAATGTGTTAACAAACAGAGAAACAAATAAGGCTTGAAAAGTCAGATGCATTGCCCAAAGTCTGAACCAAGATATTTTGGACACATGCTCTACTATACCACACTGCCTCCAAAGGCACTAGGGCATTACTGAACCCCAAAACAGGACTGATTCTTACCCACTGAATTCTTTCACATAGGAAAGGGCTGTGCCTATCTCTTATATGTATTAAAGATTTAGATGCCTGCCTTATATTGCCCTCATTTTAAATCCTACCATTTTCCTCAGCAATTTCAACACCTACCTACACCATCCATCCAATGTTTCTGCTGTAAGAGTTTCATAATCTCATCAAATGCAAAGACCTTCATCTCCATTCCAGCACCTCAGTCCTGGACTCTGCCATCTCCTAAAACTACTACACCTCTATATTTTCAACATCCAAAATTTTACTTTGGCTACAGTCTCATCTTTCTTCCAGCTTTCCTGCTCTACTACTAAACCTGCTATCTTTTTTTTTTTTTTAAGTTTTTTTTTTCTGTTGTTCCAAAGATTTTATTTATTTATTTGACAGAGATCACAGGTAGGCAGAGAGAGAGAAGCAGGCTCCCTGCCGAGCAGAGAGCCTGATGCGGGGCTTGATCCCAGGACCCTGAGATCATGACCCGAGCCGAAGGCAGAGGCTTAACCCACTGAGCCACCCAGTCGCCCCTAAACCTGCTATCTTAACTCAATATATCCTCACCTCAGACCAAGTCATCCAATTCCTTAACTACTTTGTTCACAATTCAACAAAAATCACGGTGTGCCTACTATGTGTTAGGTGCACTATGACCAGGACTAGAAACACAACAGTGAACTAGACAGATACAATCTTTATCCTCACAAAGATTCCAGTCTGGAGAAAAAAAAAAAAATTCACAGAAAATTGTAATAAAGAAATGCTGGAGAGGTGGGTGTGATCTCCTACAGGGAGTCCGAAAAAGCTTTCCCAAGGAAGTGATATTACATCTAAGGACAAAAGAATGAGTAGGAATTGGAGGGACAAACTGGGAAAGAATGTTCCAAGCAGAGGAAACATATTATCAACGTTCTATGACAGGAAAAAACACAGAGGTGAGAATGGTACAAAATGAGGATTAAGAGGGGGGCCTGGTGGACCCTACTAAACATGGGGATTTTATCCTAAAGATAATGAAAAGCCATTGATGTAAGTCACTGTTGTAAGCAGGGGCAGGACATGATCACACATGAAATATTAAAAGATCCCCCTGGTTGTAGTGAGAAGAGTGTGGAAGGAACACAAGTGGAAATTATTTCAACAACATGATGGTGAGCTAGACTAGGGGACACGATGGCAAGCTGGAAAGCAGTGACGACTGAGGGGAAAAAAGTGGATTAGATGCCACTTTGTCCCTTCTTGCCTAACTGAATGTGAGCCCACTGACTGGTCACTTATTTTCCAGTAAAAAACTAGTTCCACTATTCTTCTATTTCATCTGCCCAACCTGATAGCTCTCACATTCAACTTCTCTGCTACTACCTGGGCCTACTGAGCAAGATAAGATCAAATAATCATGCAGAGGAACCCAACTATAAATAAATGGCAGTCAGCCTCATTACTTTCCATGGAACACTGCTGCCTTCTGCTTGACTTGGGGACAAGTCAACCAATGTTCTCAGCTACTATGCCACACCTTCAGTATTCTCCTACCCAATTCTTATCACTCCTTAACTCCTGGCGTGTGACCTTGCCTTCAACTTCATAGAAAAAAATATGAAACAAAGCAAGAGGAGTTCCTTTAGGTTGACTCCCCTGTTCCTACCTGCCAGCTGTTCTTCTCCTCTACCCTGTAAAACTCCCTAAAATCAACATTCACATGTTACTTTTTCACCTAAATGCAGTACTCATCCTACCAAAATGGGCTTCTATTGAAGAAGAATGGCACTGACTTACAATAAGATCACAATTATCCTTACTGCTTATCTAAAATGATCTTTTTGTAGCACGTGATACTTACCACTCTTCCTGCCTCTCTGGCTCCATGTCTTGGTCACCTTTGCGGACTCCTCTTCCTAACCAAGAGTTAATGCACTGAAGGTTCTACCTCAGGCCTTCCATCTTCTTAATTTATATCATCTCCTTGAGAATTTCATTCATGCCCCTGAACACCAAATGGTGATGACTTCAAAATGTATTCACAGTCCCAAACTCTCCAGCTCACCTAGGAATCCCATATGCACTTCAAACTCAGCATGTTAAAAGCATGAGCTCATTCTCTCATCTCTGTCCTTCCCCCTTTCAAACTACCCCTCTTCCAGTGTTGCCTATTCTAGCAAAAGGTACCATCATCCGTCCTCTTAGCCAAGTCACAAAAGCCGGGGAGCCACCCTGGAATTATCTTTTACCTTATCCTCATTCACAAACAGTCCTTTATGAAGGACTACTCATTTCACCTTTAAAATTTCTCAAATCCATCCCACACTCTTCATAAGCTACAACTATTTTATTCTCTCAGGTTTTCATTACCTGGACTCCAGGAAATAGCTTCCTAATTTCTCCCTCTTCCTCTCTCCAGCCATTGGATGCTTGTGGAGGCTGATCAATCTAAAATGCAAATAGGCCTTATAGCTCCTGGCTCTAAATTCTTTAATGACTAAAGCATCAGATCCCTTCACAATCTGGCTCTGCCTAACTCTCCAGCCTCATTGACCTGCCACCATTCCCCCTTCTGTCCTGGTAATTCCCCAGGTACACCATGTGCTCACATTTCAGTTCCTTTGCCCATGTTGTTCCCGCTGCCTGGATTGACTTGTGGTCTAGCAAGTGATTTCTTACCTCTTCTATGAGACTACCTTGAGTACCACCTCATTTGTAAAAAACTTTCTCTGGGTTCCCAACTTAAATTGCTCTCTTCCTCCTTGCTGCTGCACCTGCTATTACACCTCTGTGATTTTATTTACACACCACAGAGTACTTGTGTTTATTTACATGTTTCTCTCCCCCCACTAAACCATGAGCAATTTGAAGGCAGGAATTTTGTCTTGTTCATCCTGTATCCCTAAAACCCAAGCACCACTCAGTTTTTGTTCAGATAAACTGAATTGTATTTGTACAGTACCCAACCATGCACACGCGCGTGCCCGTGCGCACACACACACACACACACACACACCAGTATCGATGATAATCAGATAATCAGTGTTGTAAACAGGCAGGTCTCAAACAGTGGCTCATCTCAAAGACACTTGCTTAAGATTGTTATATGACATTATTTGCAACAAGTTTCTTTTCCTAAACATTAACTCAGACTAACATTACAATCAGTCTGCATGCTCTGCATACCCAACTATTTAGTAACGGAGAAAGATGACCCAAAATTAAACACTGATTATGGATAACTATTATAATAATAGTTAAAATGCCTGAGAAACTACTGACCCTACATTTTCTCGTCTACTACATCCCCAAGCATCCACATTCTCACACTATACCCTCTCCCAGTCCTAGTGATGCACTACAGCAGTGTCTGAGTCCCTTCCAACTCCTCCCAAAACTCACTGGAAAACCACAACATTCAAGACTGTCAAGAATTTTCAAAGGTCAGAGATTCCTCCATGTCTATGATGTCAGTCCCAAGGAATCCAGACAGGGAGAAAGAGGAGGGACAAAAACCCTTAGAAATTTCACACAATTCCTGATTGGGTGGGAGGGAAAAATGAAAGACTCTCTTGGCAGATTGTTCTTAATTAAAATGGGTCCTTACAAGTGAAAGAAGCAAAATATATCCTTCTTTTAAAAAAAGAGAGAGAATATGACCAAATTCCATACCAAAGAGACCTATGTAGACCTATGTTACAACCAAGAGACAGAAAGATGGGTCTAAAAGGAAAAAAAGAAGTGACAGGAAGTAATATGTGTTAAAGCTTCAGACATTATTTCATTTTAACTTCCAAGTAACTCTAAGAGATTTGTTTGTATCATTAACCCTACCTCACCAGATGAGATTGCTAAAACCCACAAAGGTTAAGTAATCCACCCGAGATTACAAATGGAAAAAAGCCGCAGGGCCAGGATTTTCATGAACCCAGCCTACTGGAAACCAGAGGCCAGACCCTTGCACCACAGCACCCCTAGTCCAGGGAGGCGAATGGCAAAAGCATGTGCCATCCACCCATGTGCCAGTCTACCCTCCCAGCTGCAACTGCTTTCAACACAGAGACAGAGAGACAGTGAGACAGAGAGAACTGGCTCTGGATTTGGACAAATTTAGGTTCAAATACCAGTCTACCTACTAAGGGCTGAACTATGGGTAAATAATATAACCACTCGGTGCCTCCATTTCTTCACATATCAAATGGAGAAAATATCTGCATTTCAGACCTTTTGCTGGCATTAACTAACT